TAGGGCAAAGTTTTATCCAAATGTGTGTAAAGTGCACCTTCCAGGCCACCATATATATCTATAGTTTAACCAGTTTGACTAAAAACAGATAATAAAGAGCAAAAACTTTATATGTTAATGCTTACTACCTCTTAGTTACCCAAAAAATGTATAAACCTTGTATATACATGCACTAATGTGAACAACCGTTAAAAAGATAATGAAAAGAAAAGCAATACACTTAAAAGCGAAAATTGCACTTTATTTTTAAATTACCCATCTCTTGACTTTTTACAAACACGTAATACAGCATCTCTTCTATACTCTGCTGGCTTGCTAGTTGCTTCCCATTCAGCAAGCAATATCAACAGCAATATAGGTCAGCAGCCAAAAGGTGAAAACATGTAAAGAAGCAAACAGATTTTGCGTCTCATCCATGTATGCTATTTTTAATCATAATGAAGAACAAGAAGAGGGAAAGGTTATTTTGGACTGTACAGAGTTGCTACCAGCCATCACTATAATTTATATGTCACTATCATTTTATTAATGCCTTCTAATTCACTTGACATTAGCTCACGCCAAAAGAAAATGCCCGTTGACCATCTACTAACTTCTTTCTCTCAAGTTTCTACCTTGATTATAAAACAGAAGCTTTATCAAAACCTGGGATAATACTCATCAATCGGTAACTACAAGCAATTAAATGGTGACTAGTTGGCAACAAAGACTTGGATCATTCGCTTTTAATTTATTCTCACTGATTGGGCTGAATTTCATTTTATTTAGTTAATGAGGTGTGAAACATGGACTTGGATTCTGATTGTACTAGGTGGGAAGAATTGCTTCCCATTTTGACTTTGCCTCTTTGAGGGTGGGACTTGAATCATACGCGTGACAGAATGCTCATTACTAATTTTTTGGCATCATAGTGGTTCATTAGATATGATAACAACAGCAACAAAAACAAGTTTAAGGGCCAAGTGCGAAGACGAGAATACGGACTTGGGCATCCTCGTAACGTGCCTCGATCTTCATTTAATTCATGTCTGATAAACATCAACTTTTATTGTCAATTGATCTTTTTCCTTTAACTATTTATCATTGCTAACTACAGATAGTTGACTATATATGCTAATGAAATCAGAACAATCTCCCTTGTTTCTAGTAGCGTAAATTGCTGTGAATCATAATTATATTCTGAACTGGGCAGCAGTAATTAATTAAGAGAGAGAATATCTTTCACTCTCACATAGAGTTTGGCAAAATAGGATAATGTATCCATTTGCGCAAGCAATAACCAGTTAGGTTTAAAAGACTTAAGATCTAATTTTGAAGCATAAAAAATATTCAAAATAAGTAAAACTTACATGCTTAATTTGTATTCAAATCAATTAGATTAAATTAAAATGGACTAAATTTAATTTAAACTTAAAATATACAAGTTAAATTTTATATTTTATTGTGTGAATTTGTGTCGGTCTACTTAGATTATTTTATCAACTCTACTTTTACAAATAGAAAAAAGTGTCTTTGCTTATTAACATGTTAAAATAATCAACATTTTTCTAAAAAAAATAAATAAATGTATATACTTTAAAATTTTATAAATAATTTATAATAGGATATCTTGTTTGAAAGTCACAGTTGCGAGAGGGAATCGTGCCCTTATCATGATTTTATTTACCATTTTGCTTACACTACGATTAAGTTATGCTTAGCAGGATCTATTATGATTTGCATTGTATGTCAACTATTTGCTGCTTTCATTTACAAGAAATAATTATTAATATTTTTTAAAATATAAAAAATAAGACTTAATTTAAATGTAATAAATATTAAATTTTTTGTTCTTTTATTTATTATAAAATTTGTATTACTAAAAAAGTTACTCTCTATTGATATACATAAACATAATTATTTATTTAAAATATAATATAAATTTAGAATATATAATTACTTATATTAATCTTAATTCATACAAGTTCAGTATCGCTTGACGAGTCCCTTGACATCAATCATAAAAGTAATTTTAAAAAATAGTAAAACCAAATCCATGCACCAGAAGGGGAGCATGAGACAAGAAATTACTCAAATAGAAAAAGTCATGTGTGTTAAATAAGAAATTAACAATAATATCATTATTCAGTGGGTAACTTTTTAACTGAAAAACAGTCGCGACAAGAGTTGGGTAGGATTTAACGTGTGTTAGGATTAGGATTTCATATACACACACACTCCTACACATCACCGTCACCCGTACCAAGTTTGGGTTTTACTGGCTGTGCTTTCAAGTTGAGAAACCTTTAACTTCGTTATTTCAAGATCAATACTTTATTAAGTTCTTTCAAAATTTAAGTTTTTAAAATGACTTTTAATTGACTTATATTATTATTTTATTTAATCTTTTAAAATTTATATTTCTCTAGATTAATCTTCTTATTATTACTGTAATTTTCTATAAATATTAATTTAGTAAAATTTTATTTTTTATTTAAATATTTAATTTATTTTTAAGTTGAAAAACTACCAGTTTAATATTTTAAGAATTAATAAGATAATATTTTGTATTTTTAAATATTAATTTAATGACAAATGAAATTTTTGTTAAAATATATATTTAATTCCTATAATTAATGTCTATTTATGATTTAATATATTTTAATACTTATATAAGTATTTTTATTATATTTTAGTTTCTATTAATATAATATTGTTAAAAATGAAGAGATTAAAATATAACAAAACACTTACATAGGGCTGAAATGTAAATTTTAAAATATAAAAATTAATTTAAATAAGTATTAATTACATTAATCAAATTATATATATATATATATATATATATATATATATATCTTAGTTAATTATAACTTAAAAAGATACTTAAATATTAAAATTTGACCAAAAACAATGTATATTATAATTCAATGTTATCTTTAAATCAATTAATAAAAAAAATTATTTTATTTTATATTTTTATCGCTTATCTTAATATTATATATAAAAATAAATAAAATGATAATACTAAAATTTTTATTATACTTTTTTAAAACATAATTATATCAATTTATTTATAGTATACTCTTTTATATGTTAGATTAATTTTTATAATTTTTTTAGTAAAAAATAGAAAATTTGCTATCTTTGGAATGTGAACTATATCACTCTTCAAAATCTTAAAAAAATAATTTTATTATATGAGTGAAATTTAACTTTTGCATCATGATATAAGTAATTCATGAATGCATTCTTTGTTAATTATATCTTTTATGTATGAAAAAAATTATGAGCATATTTAATTTTTTCTTCATAGTAATAAACAAATTTGTAATATATGAATTTTTTTAGTATTTTATTAACTATAGTTATGATTTTTTTATTGATTCATCTATTCACAAAATAAAAAAAATCTAATAACCTTAAATCATAAATAATAATTTTTAGTTTAAACATACAACTTTTGTTTTTTAAAAAATTATAATTTTTATTTAATACTTTATTTTAAATTTTTTCTAAATAAATCTACCAAACAAAATTTTAGTTTTCAATTAAAATACGTATTTATTATATATAATTGATACTTATTTAAAAAATTAGTTGTTATAGTTGAAAAATATATTATAACGGTAAAGATAAAAATTAAAGCGTAAATTTTTTAAGTGTAATAATTAATTCGTAATTAAATATTATTTATAAAATTAAATGTATATTTTGACTTTAAATATTTAAACAATTAGTTTGGTGACAAAATTTTTCAAAAATCAACTTAATAACGATTTAAGTTCCTAAGAAAGTTGATTTACTGGGCCAATATTTTAAAAGAAAAAATATTTTTAATGATATTTTCATCTTCAGAAGCCGAAATTGACATTGTTAGTTTTCTAGACGTATTTATATGCAACTTTTATGCAGATCTTTGCTGCATGTATTTATCTTTCTAATAATTTTTTACTATTTTATAAATAAATATTATGAATGTTGGGAGGTTAAAAAGAACAAAAAAAATTCTAGAGATTGAGGCCAAGGGGCCTAAAACGTACGGATCAAAATCAGAACATTTACCATCATCAACAATGCTACTGGAGAGGAAGAGGACGTAGAAATGCTTGCAAATCGAGAATTTCGTTGTTATCTATATTTTCAATTTAATTAAAAATAAAAAACAAGTAAACCAAACAGAAACTAATCTTTTGAGTAGCAAGAGACACTATTTAGCCTTCCAAGCATGCACCAAATGCAAGCAAGAATCGCAAAAAGGAAAACTGATTATGCCAATTTATATTTGGTTCTCATTCTCGTATGTCTATTATCACTTATATTCAAGTAATTTTTGTCTAAAATATCCTTCCTGCTAACATGGCTATTAGAGCAATAAAAAGAGTATTTTAAATACAAATCACTTGAATACAATATACACACCTTCCATATTCAGCATAAAACTTCCAATGCCCAATGCACAAGAACAAGAACTAGCACCAAAGATTGATTCTCCAATCTAACTACTCTGCAAGTCTTTTTGAATCAAGAAACCTATTATTTTTGTGTAATGGAGTCTAATTAATTAAGTGATTAAATTCTACACCGTTTAGATAAACGCGGGGCAAGTTGGAAACAGATTTAACATAGAAGGGAACTTGTTTCAGGCAATACCAGCGAGCAGGGCACGTTATCATTAGCCACATCCTTTAACTAGAAGTCCAACAAAACGATAGGGATTTTCAGGTTAATTTAACCTTTAATTAATTGTAAATACACTTTAACCTTCAAAAGTTTATCCTTTACACATAGCTAAAGGATGATCAAAATAATAAGGCGAGCAAAAGCATATCTTCACATGAAATGTTACATATATTTTCTTTCTGAATGATATAATAGAGCATTGACGCTGCCCGTTGTAGCAATTTGAAACTATCCTTTCATAATATGGAAGCTGCAAACATTGAATAAACATACATAGCTGCCGCAGAATTTTAAGGCAGCAAAAGCACATTATTCATAAATTCCTTTGGCAATCTTTGTTAGATATCCGATGAGGTCATTGGAAGCTGTTGTGTCTCCGTGTGCTTTGTTGTAGGTGATGATGGCATGGAGTTCGAATAGTCTTTGCCTTTACCCCACACCACTGAGTAAAGACCCAATGCGATAATGATGGCTCCAATGATACTGAGATCGATATAATAGAGAATTTAAGACAAAGGAAGGGCACGATTCAGAAAAATAACAAGGACATATAATGAAGAATAAAAATAATTATCATCATGAAATAGTTGCCACCAATCAAGAATGTGAATTAACCAAATGTGGGTGATCAAACTTTTAATAATAAAATTTTATTTGTAATGAGAAAGAATTAAGAATGTGAATTAATCAAGTAGTGGAATAGTTAAGATACCTGCCCAAGTGAAGTTGCTCTGCAAAAAGGAAGGAGCCTAAAGCAGAAGTTATGATCATGCAGAGAGGGTTGAAGGCTGTTAAAAATACAGGGCCTCTGCTTTGCAATACTAACCCTTGCACATAGTACGTAATTCCTGAGGTAACTACTCCCTGTAATTTTAAAATTGATTGTCAAGAAAAAACTGCGCGTGAACAATAATAACAATGATATATAATAATTTTTTTCTTTATTGATATAAGATTTTACGTTGATGGACTGTCAATTTAAAGGAATTGTAAACAATTATTTAATTATATCTTGTTATGTCAGTAATTAAAAGTTCGACTTTTACAATAATACATACATATTCTTTTATGCTGAATTGAAGTGCCACCTCTTGAGAATGACTTAATCTCTTGATTTACTTTCTTTCAAAGTATGGCAGTGCCATTGTTATTTTTTATTTTAATCTATACTTTAGATTTTATATAACTTCTTTTACGTACGTGTTATATATTTTCTTTTATTTAATACATTTTAAATTTCGTTTTAATTCAAAAATACTCATGCAACACTCTAGAAGTTATTGTTTAATTTAAAACGTATACTCTTCTTAATAATGCGACAATACATTATGAAAATGACAACATATAATAATTTAGGATACATCCAAATTATAACTCTTCCTGATAAAGTAAAAGTTTAATGATCGAGCTAAATTGAAATTGTTTTTTAAAAGTAAGAAGTATGCAGTGAGAAAATAAAAACATTTATTATTATTTTAATTCAAATATTTTAAAGCATGATCAACTATAAACAAACAATAAATAAGCACTCAAGTTTTATTTTATATATTTTATTTAATTTAGAAGAGTCAAAATTTTGTATTAGAACCTAGAAGACATAGAAGATTTGGGCTTAAAGCACGCTAAAATGGGCCGAGCAAAACAATTTATCTTTTGGGGATAAACAATTGATTTATCTTTTTCACTACACTCCAATGCCTGTCCCTACCAGTGTCAGAGTCACCTTTGAGACTCAAGGCCAAGAGCCTGAGACAAGTCAAATTTGTTTGGAGTATGATTAAATTCATCTTTTTTATTGTGTGAGTGATTATGCTTTGAAGATTTGAGATTGAAGACTAAACAAAAAAGCTTTTTTGGGTTGAGTAAACAAAATTAGGCCATTGCTTTTGGCACCATTTTTTAAAATTAACTTTTAAAAGTGATTTCAAAAGTTTAATTTTTAAAAATGAATAATATCTTTCAAAAAGTGATTTATCTCTAGAAGATTAAAAATAAAAAGTTGGTGGTGTGAATAATAATAATAGTAATAAAAAGTAATATCGAATGGAGTACGGACCGTGTAGAGGGGGCCGAATAGCCTGAAGTCCCAGCCCAAGGCCCATGATTGAGGCCCAGAGTGATGCGTGGCCACCAATGCAACAACTCCAGCTTGCAAAGCACCCACGAAGCAGATCAAAGAGGAGAGTGAAATTTCTGCTGGATACCTTTTCAATGTTAAGGACTGCAATTCACAATTTAGCCATAACACAAATTGTTAGACATGCGTTTATACTAATTAAAGTAGAACAACGAAGAAATTAAAATGAAATTAATTGCCTGTAAAATGAAGAAAGATGACCAAGCCACACAACCCAAGAGTAGAAAGAGAGTCCCCGAGACCCAGTGCCGGATACCCTCAGGGGAGTGACTTGCTTCTTGGTGGTGACTTTTGTTTGGAGAATAAAAAAGGTGGATTTGTGGGCCTTTGTAGAGTGTCACTAACAAAGCACCTCCAAAGGTTACCAATGTCCCAATCACCTTCGCTAAGCTACGTAGCTCCTTCATATTTACACGCTCTAACCTGATATATTCATTGCATGTAAGTGCTATGTCACTCCTTGACCAAAAGCTCAAATGTGCTGTGATGCTTCTTTTTCTTATTATCAAACACAGGTCCTAGATTTACCACAAGCAGTACACTTTTACTTAATTAGGAAAATGTACGGTGTTCGAAAAGAACAAGTTTAGAGAAAAAGAAGGATGTGTCTTTAGTATTCTTGTTATACTTTTCTATTAATTTATAAAAATAAATAAACATAAAAATATATCAAATTATAATATTTTCTTTTACTGTAGATTAATTAAATTCAGAATACGGAGTATTACTTAACCTCACCTTAGAATTACGGCAAGCACAAAAGTGAGAGAGGGCACAGCATTCATTAAAGCAGATGCAAATGAAGCAGACGTATATTGCATTCCCAAGAAAGTGAAGCCTTGATCAACCACTGGCCTTGAGTTCCACAAGGAATGAGACACGTTATAAAATAAATAATTAGACATTTACTATAATAAATTTAGTTTGAATTTACTTCATCACACTAAATAAAACAATTAGTCAAATTTAGTGTAATACGGTACACTATTATTCATTTATGAGTCAATAAATAATTAATCATGTCAGCAGTATTGCATAGTTTTATTGCTGAAAAGATGAACGTTTTTTAACAGTTTGGTTTCAGCTATTTGAAGTATCTTTAAATTATGAATAATGATTTTTTCTTATGCTGTTAAAACAATTGTAGTTTAAATTCATGTACTGTTAGTGAAACAAATTGGACTAATTTGGGGTACCTTTCAGCCAGTCGATAATTTTGAGGTTAGATTAGATTGAATCAATTAAATTGTGACACAAAAAATAATTGTGTGTAAAAAAGATTAGTTATTAAAAATTTTACTAATTATACTCATAATTAATTATAATAAGTAAATTTAATGTTTGGAGTTATTACATGAAAAAATTAAAGTAATATATTTTATTTAAATTATTTAAAATAGATAATTTTGTATGATAATAAAATATTCACAACTGTCGGTTATAGGTTATAGAATTGAAAAAATATTTAAAATATTATTAATATGCTCCTCTCATGAATTTTAATACGTACTTAACATAATTTTAATATATTTTTTTTGTCCACTACCTTTAGATAGAATCTTTGTTAACAAAAAAATATTTACAATTATAAAATAATATATTAGAATTTATAGGATTTAAATTTGTATTTATAATATTGTTTTATTAGGAATTTTTCTATAATCTCATTTCTTGTTATTAATTTAGCAATTGATTAGCCAAATAAATGCATTCCACCTATCTGAGGTCTAATATTATTTACAAGAAATTTTAACAGTTATACAACTTAATTGGTTTGTAACACGATATTAAGTTTGTCTTGAAAAACCAACTTTCGATTTTTAATAAATAATTACAATAATATAATTTTTTTCACTTTTTTCATAATTTCTCAAATAAATGTTTAATAAAGACAAGCCTTTAAATATTTCAATAATTCACATGCGTCATAGGTCAATCTTTAGTATCCCTTTTTAATGAAATTAGATTTTAAACATATAATAAATGTTACTTGTGCTTTACCAGTGACAGGAACCAATAATATGTTCAAATACAAGTGTTTGTACCTGGTTAGGTATGATAAAATGGATAATCAATATTTATCATATTTAGTAATTTAAATAAAGTAATTTTTTATGTAATAGGTAACTTTAACATAACAAATAATGTGAATAATTTAAATAAAAAATACTTGGAGGTATATAATTATTCAAAAAAATTGAATCATTTAATATTATTAAAATATTGATGTAATATCAACTCAAAAGAATATTATTTTTATTAAAACACGCAGATGATATGTTATTAACAAGATATTACTTTCACATTAAAGAAATCAAATTCAAATTTTGGAATTCAAACTTAATTTTCCTTCAAAATTATCAAATAATCCTGCGATGGTGTTGAAAAACAAAATGCACCCTTCAAATCAACTTAAAGAATGTCTAGGTTTAGCTTTTTAAAGTGAAAATGAATTATGTTCATAAAATGCTTGAATTAAAATTAAGGATAAGCATATCTTCTCTTTTCTATTTACATTTATTTTCACTTAAAAAAAAGTTAAATCTATCAACTATTTACTCCTACACACACACCTATAATTCTCATGGTTAGATTTCAGTTAAAAGGATGCTTAAATATTAAAAAAGTTATACTTTAACATCCTTTTGATATAAGGTAGGTGCAGAGTAAAAATGAAAAAGACAGACTTAATAATATAATAAAAAAATATATCAGAATCGTTAAATATTGAGAATCAAAGACAAATAACATCTATTTAGGATGTGGTGGCTAATAAAAAGCTCTCTATATACAGTATTATTTTTTTAAAAGATGATAAAGGCTCTTTTACATTAATTGTTTAAAAAATTAAATATTATTAAATATAAATTATTAAAAGTTGTCGGTATATCAATATTTGTTTATTAGACGGAAAAATTATATATTAAATAAATTTTCATAAAATCACAAAATTTAATGTATTAAAATGTATATAATAACAATCAATATTACAATTTTGATAAGTTTTACTATTTAATAGTTTTTTATTAAAAACTTTTAAGCGCACCTTAAAAAAATTATAATTTAAATTATATCAACAACAACTATATCTTTAATTGCTTATTTTAATGATAGGCTGGAGTTTAAGAAGCCTTTCCTTCTCTAGGTCAGATAATTGTGTGTAAATAGAACATTACACTATCAAAATCATAATCAATAATTGAGAATAGTTTATTATGAAAACGGCATGTTCGAGTTGCATATATTATTTATTTTTGAAAAAAAAATGCATGCCTATATTTATTGATAATAATTTCATTTTAAATAATTTTTTTTCTGAGATAGTTGTATTTGTTTTATGTAAGTAAATTTCTAGATAAGTCTTTATTAAAAAAAAAAAAGTTAATAGATTTGTTTTGTAAATTTAAAATAACTTATACTTTTCTAATTTTTGAAAAATTTTAAGAAATTTTATTATTTAATTTCTTTAAAATATGAAAAGATAAATTATTTTGAACTTAAAAAAGTTTTATTCATTATTTATACTATTTTTTTTCTAAAATTTCATTCATCGAGGCCTAAACAGAACACACACTTTACATAATTATGTGTAATGCAAGCAAATTTTTTACTGTGTAATTAATTAATGTTATCAACAAAATAATATATAACTTATTTTATATTTAAAATATATTTTAATCAAAATAAAATAATTATATTTACTTAAATCAGGGGAAAATAGTCTATATATATTGACTAAAAGAATAGGTTCACTTTGGCTGTAGAAAAAAGGTTCACTTAATGAAACTTTTTATTGTTGAGACAGCTAAAGGTGTTATAATTTAAGAAAATCCAAACATGTTACTATTTAACTTTAGCTGACGTTAAGTGTTATATGCCAATGCCATATGACTACAAATAGTTATCAATAGGTTTTAGATCATTACTCCAAAAATCCGAGCGCCATTATCTGTAAAAAGACACGGAGTGTCATCTTTGGCCTAAATTTCCTGCAAATTTGTAACGAAAATGTTAAACAAAAAAAAGTTACTTCACTTTTAAATTTTTTTATCAAGAATTTGGTATGTATATATATATATATATAGAGAGAGAGAGAGAGAGAGAAGAAAAATAAGATGGGTAGCACTAGCACCTCTCAAAAATGAATGCAAAAGGAGCGAGTGCAAGTGCAGCTATGGCATTGCGGTAGAAAATGAAGACAAAACGGTTCATTCCATGGTTGAGACTGGCAATGGAGAAGAGGTATGCTCCGGCGAACCCAAATTGCAATCCCACCGTTAACAAATAAGGCTTTGCCTTATAGAAGCTTGTGCCAAAACTAGCACAACATGATGCTTTCATCTTGTGTTTGAGACAATATGTTTGAGTTAGAGATGCTCACAAGTGATGAATTGGCCTTCCTTATAAACAGCAAGAGTAATGATTGAGACAAAATGCACTACGGAGAGCAATAGGATAAGTATCTGTACATGTTTTAAAGTTCTGCTTTTGGTCAATCTCAAATTAAAGCTTTATTATTATTTAGTGGGAGTACCCAGCCAGCAACTAGCTTTGCTTGATTCCCTCTCTGTTGAGTTGCCGTGAGTCAGAATACACTTTGGCAGCAGCAAATTTTTCACAAACGCACTGCAATAACTTTATACTATGCTTAAAATAAACACAAAAATGATTTTGTATTTTGCATTTATATAATATTCTTCATGCATAGTGGGCTCTGAAAACCACTTATTCACTATTCGGTTGAACAGTTTTCTCTTCCAATCTCCATTTTTCTAGAATAGTAGCGAATGATTACATCAATATAGTATATACTTGCTGGCTGCTAGGAATTCATCTCTTCTGTTAATAATATTTTTTTAGAATTGATTTTAAATATTTAATAATGGCTTTTTTATTAAAAACAAAAATGTTTCTTACACTATAACTTTTTGTAATAATGTTTTTTAATTGAAGAGTTTACTTTTAATTCTTAAAATTTATGTTGAAAAGTTTATATATAGATGAATTTTATGATAAAGTTCAGGCCAGCAAAAGATATCAAACTCTAATGCTTAATGTCGTGTGAAACACCAACTCCATCATAATTAAATCTACATGGTGTAAAAATAGACTAATTAATAATGCCATATGATAGATATAGTAAACCACATATATGTGGAATAGAGTGTGACAAATATCAAATCTAATGCTTAATGGGTGCGGTAAATAACCTCCAATAATGCTATCTGATATGCATTTTCTGCTATTTGTTAATGGATTTGAGTTAGAGTTGGTAAAAACATTACATTTTATAATAATATATACCATCACATCATGACTTCTTAACTATATTGTAATAAAAAGGAAAAACTTTTGGCAACCTTCCCTTAATTGTAGCCAAGTATATGATTTTGCCTTGCCCTCACGTATCATTAATGAGGTTCTGCTTTTTTATTGCATCCTATCCCTCTTCAAAACTTTTTGAATTTTTTTTATTAATTATTAATCAAAATACAGTGCACGCAGACGAGACAATCGGTGGAGTCATTGAAACTTCGTTTTCTAGGAACCATTAAAATGGCAGGAGAGAGGTAGCAAGGTCGAGGATAACGAAAATTGTAGATACCCGTGCCATGATAGCAAGATCAACTTTAAGGATAAGAAGAGGGTGAAGATAGATGAATACCCACACATCGAGGAGTTTCAAGCGTGAATTCAGCGTTCAAATATAAATTTTCAGATTTAAATATGTTTTTAATTCTCATATTTTAGTGAATTCTTAACTTTATTCTTTTCAAATATTTTTTTTGTTTTAGTTCTTACTTTTATATGAAATTTTATTGATAATCTTTGTTATTAATTTAGTCCACTAAAATACTATAAATATCAATTTTTTATTAGATTACATCAATTAAAAAGATTAAAAATATTAATTTTATAAAATATAAAGATTAAAATAACAAATTATTTAGAAACTTAAATTAAAAAAATACATTGAAGTTAAAATTTTAATATTATACTTTTATAACTTTACTGAAATTAATGTGTTTTTTTAGTAAAGACTTATATTTTTATATGCTTAAATAACTCTTAGTCATAATATTTACGTATATGTGTGTGTGTATATATATATATATATATATACATATATATATATATATATATATATATATATATATGTAAGTATACATTGCTTTAAAATATATAAAAAATATAAGATGTAGTAAGTAATCTGAATCGAATTGATATCAAATAGTTGACATTTATTTAAATTAAGTCAAGTAATCCCCATGCATTCTACGAAAAAATTAAATTAAACATATAAAATATAATAAATTAAATATTTTAAATTTAACAGAAAACATATGAGACATTTGTCACTCACGATGACAATAACAGTAAAAATAATACCTAATTAGTTGTTGTGCTTTATCCAGAGCCATACGACCTAGTTCCCAATTTGTCGCAGTAGGGAGCACTAGCTAGAACACTAACACCGGCTAATATTTATTAAAGCAATAAGCGAGATATGCAGAACTCGTTTATTGAATAGAACTAAACTAAATATAAAATCAACAGAGTATTAATTCAGAAATAAAAAAAATTAATAAGCATTATCAAAACATTTATCATAATTTTAAATATTCTTTTAATACAACTTTTCATAAAAATTTGTTAATATTTTAATTAATATTTTTAAAGTATTCATTAATTTGAATGTAAAAATTAGTTATTTTACATATTTGTAGAATTAATTGATTCAGTTAATTTTACCACCTTTAGTCCTAAGAAGTTTTTGGTTTATATTTTTTACCAAAAAATGTAAATTATAAAACATTTATCAAAATAACATGAAAACCTATTTATCAATTTATGGTGGTTTTTGCCACATGGTGTCATCTTTATTTATTTATTTATTTATATTTCCTTTTATCACATGTGTTGCGTAGGTGCAAGTGATGGCAAAAGTTTCATGGTTTGAACTATAAAATACCTAAAAATTATGCAAAAAGTGAAGCACGTAGTAGCATCTAACGAGTATTGCTAATCCATGCAGATCACGATGCAAAATTCACACTACATTGGTTAAATTTTATTTTATTTGAATTAATTAAAATGAAAAACAAACATGCTCTTAATTTCACATTTTTTTAAAATTCTATTAATAATTTTTCATTTGCTTCCACACAGCAAAGAAGTCCGAGTACTGATAAATTTTTGTAAAAATGGCCCCCAAAAGACTTGAATGTGAATTTTATATTCACCGATTTTAATTAGTAGAAGCTGTTTATATCTGTGCAATTCCTAATTAGCATAAACCAGTGATTTTGTATCTCTCGAAAGAAGCGTGTGGACACGTGTTTTTATGCATGTACATGGGAGAGATTAATTTATACCGACATAAATTATACACATTTAATGTTTTGAATAACTTTATATAATTCTTTTTATTAATTTAACTGTTAAATAATAATTACATATTACTTTAATTATTTATGTTTAATTTAGTTAAAATTAAATAACTATAAAAATTCAATCAAACAATATTTCTTTTCATATATTTTAAATATATATATATATATATATATAATATTAATTTTGATGAATAACAATAAGTATTAATTATTTTACGTTGATTCAAAATATTGACACACGTAATTTATATAATAAAAAATTTAATTTAATGACTATTTTTTAAATTAAATAATTTAATAAATAAATTTAAATAATATAGCTCATGCTAATATAATTCGATCTCTTATTATATATATATATATATATATATATATAAACATATAAATGTTTTTATCAATGTTATTAAACAAAACGGTCTCGCCGTTTCAAAATCAAAAATTAGTCTTTTTCAAACTAATATCAGATTCCTTGGACATAATATTCACCAAGGTACTATTATTCCTATCAGCAGATCCATTGAATTTGCTGATAAATTTCCTGACAGGATTCTTGATAAAACCCAATTGCAAAGGTTTTTAGGTTGCCTCAATTATGTAGGAGATTTCATCCCCCACCTAAATAACATTATCAAGCCTTTACATGATAGGCTTAAAAAGAATCCTCCCTCTTGGACTGACGTCCACACTAATGTCGTTAAAGAAATCAAAACCAAAGTCAGGAAGATAAATTGCCTATATCTTCCCATCCCTCAAGCCTTCAAAATCGTTGAAACTGATGCTTCAGACATAGGTTATGGAGGCATTCTTAAACAAAAAATTGAGTCTCATGAGCATATCATTGCATATACTTCAAAACATTGGAATTCTGCACAACAGAATTATTCTACTGTAAAAAAAGAAGTTTTGGCAATTGTTTTATGCGTCTCAAAATTTCAATCTGATTTATTAAATCAAAATTTTTTAATTAGGGTAGACTGCAAGTCTGCCAAAGAAATTTTACAAAAGGATGTTAAAAATCTTGCCTCAAAACAAATCTTTGCGAGATGGCAAGCAATTTTAAGTGTTTTTGATTTTGATATAGAATATCTCAAAGGCACTTCAAACTCCCTTCCTGATTATCTTACCCGTGAATATTTACAGGATAAGTAAGATGCCTAGAAAGGCAGTTACCCCTTCTAGGGGAGGAACCACTAAAGGCGGCAAAGTCAGATTAGCTCTGACTTTAAACAAATCAAAATCACAATCTGCTTCGGCAGACCCAAATACCTCTTCTTCTGGGTCATCTACCCCCATTGAGTCATCGACTCAAAAGGCAATCCAAATTGTTGAGTCATCAACTCAGCAATCTGGAACTCCAAAAGAATCCTCTAAAAAGACTGATTCTGTTGTAAAAACCACCAAACAAACCAAAGCAGACTATGCTCTCCCAATTAGTACGCTTTTAGCTGTCCAACAAGGAAGCTTGAATAGCCTACCAAATAAATCTTGGGCAGACATTGCCTCTGAAGAAGAAATGAAATTAGATTTAGCCAGCCTAAACACTATAATACAGTCCTTCAACCAAACCCAGAAAACAATAACCAATAGACCAGAAGGGACCCTTGACCTTCAAAAAGGAAAACAAAAATCTTCAAGTCCAAGCCATTATATAGCCAAAGGAAAATTCTCCTCAGTTATACAAATGGAACCTGAATTTTGGGACAAAAACCCATACAAGGCAATTACCAAAGTTTTCCCACCCGAAGTGGATCAAGGAAAACAAAAATATGTAGAATAAAAGACTGAAAGGAAAGTAGGCAGTAGCAGGACTACTAAATGATATGCAGAAATTAAAAGTGCAGTATGTAAAACAGTTAATTCATAAAGAAACTAGAACGGTGGTAAAACCAACACAGATCTAGTGAAGGGAGAAGAGAAGAAAGCCGGAGCGACGGTTGTCCGAACAGG